AAGGTGACATCAGCGACTCGTCACAAAACAATGTGGTTTTCCTGGTGTAGGTACGATTGATGGTATCCATATTCAATGTAAAGCTTCTCCTGGAAACGCTAATGATTATTACAACAGAAAAAAATTTCATTCTATTATCTTACAAGGTAATTACAATATTTCTTAACATGTTTTCTCTACATTTTTTATTTGTTCAATATATTTGAATATTTTGTAAGAAACGTACACTGGACCAGACCGTATGCACGATGCTCGTGTTTTAGATACAATAACCTGTATAGACAATTAACAAATGCGGAAGATCCATTATTGTCATCACAACTGCATTTAGTAGGACATGCAGCATACTTTTTATTACATAATTTAATGATTCTATATAAAAAGATACCGGTCATTTGACAATAAAACAAATAATTTACAACATTAAATTATCATGTATTCGCAGAATTATCAAAAGAACTTATGATTTTTTAGAAACAATATTTCGAAGGCTTTATTATTTAAATATCAGTGATTTTGAATTAGGACAAAAAATGATAGCAGCTGTATGCATGTTGCATAATTTTATGATTAATAGAGGAGAAATAAATTTTGCAGACAAAATAGAAATAGAAAATTACTTAATGTTATTACGCGATGTTATAGATCCACTTAAACATGATGAAATGCTTCCGCTATTGCAAAACGGGATGATATCATGCATTCATTTAGATACAAAAAAACAAATTTTTATTAATATAAAGTAAGTTGTTTTATATGTCATACATGATATGTTTATAAATATAATAACATAAGTAAGTTTATACATACTATTTATAAGTAAACTTTATGTCAAAAAGATATGTAACATTAATCAATAAAACGCAAAATAAAATAATTGTAATGTTAAATGATCTCTCTTTCAAAATCATATATAACAAACACAAAAATTTTGTATATTTAACAGATAGTATTATACATACTGTTTTTTAGCATTATAACTAAAATAATAAAATATGTATTTATAATAATAAAATTAAAATTAAATATATATATTATACATGATTAGGCCCGTTTTATAATCAGTCGTACGCATGCACTGGATTGTCGACTGTCGTTGTCAGAAGATGGAATTCCCATCTTTTCCGACTACGGCTAGATGAAACACAACCTTCGGATACATTTGTGTAGGATAAACAGATATTTTTATACGGATATATATGGATATATTTATATTATATTATGAAATCACTGAATGTACAATAGATAAAATAATTATTGATTTTGTTCGCGAAAATCATTGCTTATATGATAAACGCGATGTGGATTTTAAAAATTTTTGCAAAAACGAGATTTATGGCAAAAAAATATCCACATATTTAAAAAACTGTTCTAATAAATATGTCAAGTAATTTTTTATTCGTTAAATTATTATTATTTAATATAAAAATATTTTGTAATTTAATTCTTTTGTATTAAATTTAAGAAATGTTTATAAACGTAATAATTTGCGTCCAAATTAATAATAAATTTGAATATATATTTAACGTTTCAATATCCATTCTTTATATTTGTTCCGACCTTTCGACTTCGATCAATGATTCAATTGTAGAATAGCAAGACGTATTCATATGCGCGCACACGTGCGATATAAATGTTTACAACACACGACAAAAGATTAGTGAAAGCCGATATCGACATACGACTGATTGTAGAACGGGCCTTATGCCTGTTCTACAATACAATAGGATCGTAAGCCATAAGAAATTGGCCAGTCACAGTTAAGTGTGAGAAGAATAATCGGCTATGATTGATTAATTTCTTATGGTTCGTACTGCTTACAATTCTATTGTAGAACAGGCCTTATGATGAATTGTATGACGGATATTGTAAATAGTGTGAATCTTACATTTTAAGTACGCCGAGTTTATTCGGAGCGACCTCGAGCAGCTCCCGAGAGACAGAACGAATACTATTAGGTCTGTTTTTTATTATTGCATTCTGAACCGGTATAATAAGGGTACGTTTCTACTGAGCGCGTTGCATTGTCCGTCACGAGTTAACCAATCAAAACATCCCATTTTATTGTATCATTTGACGCGCAACTTTTTGTATGACGCATTGTAATTTTGCTCGACATTTTAGAGATAAAAGATTCTAGAGACAAATTTACCGAATTGTTAACTATAATTGAGTTTCTACACAGATTGGTTCTCGAAAATTTGTTGTTTGTCGTATTAGTTATGACCCAACCAAAGAAAGAATTTCTTCAAAAGTTTATAGCAATTCTCATAAAATTGAAGTAGATTTCATGATCATATAAGCAAAGCTCCTGTATCAAATATTCAGTTCCCATGAGTTGTTCTCGTTTTAAGTATGGGACGCTTCCAGAATAAAACCTTCGATTTTCCTTTTTCACAAGTTTCATTCGTCTATGCAATAGTGCCAAAAATTTTCGTTCGCAAATGCTGCCGATAGGCCTCCATTAATCTAGGTTACATGCTCGCTCATGCATTGCGTTGATCTGCGGTAATGCTTTTAATGTGAATTAGTGCGGCACTATTCTTGAACTTCTTCACGTCACGTCGTGACGCGATCGACAACGCGTGACGCGCAGTGGAAACGTACTCTAAGAAACATATTTGTTTCACTTCAACTTATTGCACCGATTCAAAATGCAGCAATAAAAACAGACTTAAAAGCAAACCTATTAAGTCTGTTCTTTTTAGCTGAACTTTTACACCAGTTTATCTTTCTTCCTTTTCTCTTTAGAAGAAATAAAGAAGAAGAAAGATAAACTGGTGCAGAAATTTAACTAAAAAAGGGCAAGCCTACTGACACCGAGGAACTGATTGGTGAAAAATCGGTTATAAGGATAAAATTTATTCCCATCGCCCCTTTTCCACCAATTACGCTTGGTGTCAAAGCGCATATGATCAGGCGAATTTGTCGGCCATGTTATCATTTTAAATTCGCCAAGTTTTGCGTATCAGCCGACGTGATTCAGCAGTTTGATTATTTAATTCCAGTGAAAAACGTGAGTTATCGTGCAGTGAATCGTCAACGTTGATCACCATTGTCAATAATTCATTCGGGCAAGCTTAAATACATAGCTAAGCATACATTTGTGATATAATGACGATCAAGGCGGTCTGTGTCCTTCAGGGAGAGCCTGTTAAAGGGACCGTGTACTTTGAACAAACGGTAAGTTCTGTTCTTTTCTAATTTCCCTTCATCTCTTCACTGCGTAAGCGTGGCAATCTCGTGGAAATTTTTAGCTCAATTTCGCTATATTTTTTTCAAAAGATATCTGCTTATGCCTTAACTGTTTAAACTGCAAACTTAAAAAATGAAAATTTTTTTATCTATTACATGATATGATACGATAATATTTTTTATTTATCCTAATACATCCTACATTTTTTACTTAATTGATAATGCCTGAATCGTTTCATGATAATTTTTATATTCTTTAATTTGTCAGAACAATTTCTTCTGGATAAGAAATTTTATTTTATGACATTTAATAATTATTAATAGTACTTTGATTTCTGAAAATCAATTTTACTTGTATTTTTCTTCTTAGAAAAGCTCAATTTAAAAGCTCAATTTGCATTATAGGAAGGTTCAAATACGGTCAAGGTATCTGGACAGGTTTCCGGCTTGCAGAAAGGCCTGCATGGTTTTCATGTTCATGAATTTGGCGACAACACCAATGGTACATTTGAATCAGACTTGATAAGAATACCAGATGTTACATGGCATATTTGAGACATTACGTAATTTAAAATTAATTTGAGATCTAATTTATAAATCTTTGAATTTGTAATTTTTCTTAATAATTTTGCAACAGATTTGCTGGTTAGTCATTTAAAACTGATCAAATTTTTGTATTATTTGTATATAACATAATTCAAACACATTAATGTTTATATTTATAGTCCTTATATTTAAGGCTTCCTTAAATTTATCTTTAGATAAATATCTTTAGATGGCTCAGTAGCCAATAAAATAATTTGTAGAATGTAGAACTTAAAATATATAATGTACATGTCTTTGAGTCTATAATTTTTCTCAACACAAATTTGTTGGTTTGTCAAAATTATGATGAAATTTCCCAGAATTTATAAAAGTTTGAAATTGTATTATTTTATCAAACTTGGCTTATTTGATAAAGTTGATAACGAGTTAGTTAAGAAAGAATATATCTGATATAGCTTTGGAGACATAATCTCAGTACTAAGAAAAGTGAATATCTATTTACTTGCTGCAAGTAGGAGCCAGAGTGAACAGTGGAGTATATGATGTCTCAGTATTTGTTTATATCTTTTTAGTTACAAGTTTTTATCTTCTGAACCATTGTGGATGTTTAGATAGATGACATTAGAAGTTAGAAAATATATATTGAAAATTCTTGCAAGAAGTAGACATCAAAATATGTTTCAATAAAACAATGTTTGCATTTAATTAGAATACACTCATAAAATTAATTGAAAACTCCTTATAATTCGTAATAGAATAAAATCATATTTATATCAATTCGACAGCTGTCATGTAGCTTGTTGTATCGTTATCTGAGTAAGCGTAATTTAATTTCAATAATATATGGTTATTTATAGATTATTGTAATATAATGGAAGATTTCAATATATTTTACAAATCTATTCTATCTATAGTAAATGTTGTTTTATTTAAAAATACATTTTAATTTAGTGTTTGTAAGAATTTGCTTTATATATTATTTTTCTCATTTCTTGTGTCACAATCTAAGATGGCTGCAATGAATCAGCAGATGCCTAAATTTCAAACTAACTTATTTTAATATTTTTCTTATTATAATTTCTAAATTTTTACTGTTATTTTAAATTATGTTTATTTAATCATTTAAAAGACTTTGACCTGAAATTAACTTTACTTATAATATTGAGTAATGAAAATATATCATACACTACTCAAATTTAATTTGTTATAAATGGTCAGTATTTTTAATCGTTTATTTAAGTGATAATTTAATATTTAAATATTTTATTTTAACAATTTATATACATTATATATTAAAATATTTTTGTCTCTCTTTGAGCAGAAAAAAATGTCAATTTCTTGTGTGAATGAATGTATAATTAGAGGAAATTAAAAAGAAGTGGTGTAAATTAAAACTATTTTTTTATTGTACTATTTTTAGAGATAAATTCAAAACATTAATTAGTTCTTTATCTTTTCTACTTTTACAGGTTGCACGAGTGCAGGCGCTCATTTCAATCCGCTAGGAAAAGATCATGGTAGTCCAAATGACAGTGTGCGTCATATTGGAGATTTAGGAAATGTGGAAGCTGGTACTGATGGTGTCGCAAAAGTTAATATCACCGATGCTATGATTCAGCTCAGTGGAGCGCATAGTGTCATCGGTCGAACTCTTGTGGTATATTAGATTTATAAGTTTTGTTTAACTTGTACTTTATCAGATTTTATATCCATAACTCATTTAATGAGATTTTTACTCTTTAACATTAGTAATGGCTTTAAAAGTTAATATAATTTGTATATTTTTACAAATATGTTCTAAGAGACGTATGTATTTAGTGTATTTTAAGTATATTTATATTTAGTATACGTTATACGAGGGTCGTTTGAAAAGTCCGTGCAAAGTCAGAGACATGACACTACTGGCGCGTATCAAGATTAGATTTAGTTAGTAGCATCTCTTGGAGGAACACACACCAAGTTACAGCCAGATCGGTCTATTTGTTTGTGTTTGGCATTCATTTGAATCGAAGAAGTCGAGTGATTTTCACGATAACGCACCAGCTCACACCTCAGCAGTTGTGGTCGCAAAATTAATGGAATTAGGGTTCCAACTCGTCTCACATCCCCCCTACTCTCCAGACTTGGCTCCCTCGGACTACTATTTGTTCCCCAATATGAAGAAATGGCCCTAATTCCATTAATTTTGCGACCACAACTGCTGAGGTGTGAGCTGGTGCGTTATCGTGAAAATCACTCGACTTCCTCGATTCAAATAAATGCCAAACACAAACAAATAGACCGATCTGGCTGTAACTTGGTGTGTGTTCCTCCAAGAGATGCTACTAACTAAATCTAACCTTGATACGCGTCAGTAGTGTCATGTCTCTGACTTTGCACGGACTTTTCAAACGACCCTCGTATATCTAAGTATATTAGTGTTAAAATTAAAATGCTGATTTTATCAAAGATGTCTGCACATATAATTCATACTTGATTGTAAAAATTATATAGTTCAAGAATTGTTAATTTATTTTTATTTTTTTTGTATCTATTTTATATATGTATTAATTTATTTATCTTCCTCATATTTCAGGTTCATGCTGATCCTGATGATTTGGGCCAGGGTGGCCATGAGTTATCAAAAACAACTGGCAATGCTGGCGCTCGTCTTGCTTGCGGTGTTATTGGCATAACAAAGTAAACGCATATATATAATTGGTGTGAGAAGTTAAAAATATGGGGTATATATTAGAGAGGATATATATATACTATTTTCTTATTACTTGGTTTCCAGTATATAGTCATGTCATACAAGTGTTATTTTTTCAATATGATGAAAATTTTGTTCTTAGAAGTTAACATTAATAGTAATGATAATATTAATGTTAAAATATGGATTTATGTATGTTATCTATGGAACTAAATAAGTATATAGAAAAATATATATACAGATTCAATTCTTCAGAACATTCTTCCGTATGAATATTTATAAAAAATATTCTACTTATTTAAATAATATACGTTATAAAAATATACGTGCGGCTTCATCTATAATATATATTAAATATACATTCTTATTTATAATTAAATATACATTAAATATACATTCTTGTTTCTGAAAATTTATACCGAAGCTTGTTAAACACACAATTTAATAGAACGCCATAATATAACTACAGTATATTTAAATGGCAAGCGTATCTGGAAAGATGTACTCCACTTTTCGAATTGGTTCCAATTTAAATCTTATCTAGTCTTATCATATATGACACCGATGATAATACTTTATCAATCGATGACGCATCTAAAAATTTACCATTTAATAGGCATAATATATTAATTTCGGTGGTTGTCGCGATCGTAAGCTGTTACCAAATTTGCAAGTATGTTATCAATAAACCGAGAAAACGAACCAAGGATTAGTGTCTTTGACAATTACTATGACTACAGCAGCTCTGAAGGCGAGGAAACTGAAGATGAGAGGTATGACTTTAATTGAGAGTTTTCGATATTGTTCAAACATTTGTCTAAAAATAAATGAAATGGAAAAAATTTTAATGAATTTAGAATAAATATATATATATCTAAATATTGGGAGGGGGAGAGGAGAGAGAGAGAGAGAGAGAGAGAGTTGACAGCTCAGCAAAAAATTGCAATACTTTGATTCGTATAGAAAAGTTTACAATTCTTATTTACATTACAAATTGTTTTGCGAGTTCTCAGTTTTTATTTTTTAACGCATAAATACATTAGTTTTGTTTACATTTTTCTAAAGGTATGATATTTTAAGAGAAAGACAAATTATTTTCTATTACGTTTATTCCAAATACAAAGTCATATATTGCATTATGATTTGTTTATAGACTTGTTTAGTCGGCTCTATCTACCCATGAGCGTTGTCGGATGAATTATGAGACATCCTATATATGTATATGCATATGTATATATATATATATATATATATACACACACACACACAACATTTTTGTCTACTGGGTTTGCTTAGTTTTCGAGATATTGGGCTGGATCATTTAAAATGAGACACCCTATGTGTGTAAATACATATATATATATATAATGTACACGTGCGCGCGCGCGCAACACGCACGCACATGCACGTATATATAGAGTGAGTCATTATAAATTATACACTGAAATATCTCGAAAGATATGAAAGATACAGAAAAATGTTTTAAAGAAAAGTTGTTCAATTATTAAGACACAGAAAATGGTGGCTTTGGTTGACTTACAGAAGGTATCCTTAAAGTCAGGTCAAGGTTATGTATAATTTTTTAAATGGAAACCCCAATTTTTTATTTCATGTTCATATAGCTGATGTTAAGTCCTTTTCAAAACACTGTACTAAAAGATTTTTTCATTGAGTATTTTACAAATTATCAAGCACTTCAAACTCATCGTGAGAGGCGAGGAGAATCAAGCAACCTAAAGGGAACAGAAAACTACTACGTCCACGTCGTTGTTTCTGAATAGCGCTAAAAGTAGCACTGTATTTGCTCTTTTTATTTCAGAATTTAAAGTTTGAGATTTCAATATTTCAATATTTTAGTGGCTAACATTAAG